TGGTCCTCCTCCTTAGACGATCGTGACACCAAGACTCTTCCTAGAGCTGGCCACCCGGCCAAACTTGTCACAATCGTCGAAGGAGGAGGACCAAGGTGCAGCGTGAAATTCAAACATACTTTATTATCAATAGTGATAACACGAACAAAACAATAAACGATAACGTGACGTCCTAGGTCTAACACAACCAACACGGAACAAGATCCCACAACTACTGTGGGAAAACAGCCTGTTTAAATGTGGTTCCCAATCAGAGACAACCAGCAACAGCTGACACTCGTTGCCTCTGATTGAGAACCACTCTGGCCAACATAGAAATGAAACAACTAGAACTACAACACAGAACACAAACACATAGAATCTACACACCCTGGCTCAACATATAGAGTCCCCAGAGCCAGGGTGTGACAGTATCCCCCCCCAAAGGCGCGGACTGCGACCGCGCCTCAACATAAACCAAACAGGGGAGGGCTGGGTGGGCATTCCTCCTCGGAGGCGGTTCCGGCTCCGGGTTTGACCACCACCCTTCAACCATCCCCCCGTAGCGCCCCTGGTCCGGTCTGGCCCCACTGGCTGGAGCTGGACTGGACATCGTAGGAGCGGATTGCTTAGGCTCCGGTGTGGAGCAGCTGACCGGTACCTGACCAGGCACCGGTGACCCAGGCACGGGTTGTGCCGGACTGACGACGCGCACCCCTGGCTTGATGCGTGGAGCAGGAACAGGCCGGACTGGGCTGACGATGCGCACCCCTGGCTTGGTGCGTGGAGCAGCAATGGGCCGGACCGGGCTGACGATGCGCACCCCTGGCTTGGTGCGTGGAGCAGGAACGGGCCGTACCGGGCTGACGATGCGCACCCCTGGCTTGGTGCGTGGAGCAGGAACGGGCCGTACCGGGCTGACGACTCGCACCCCTGGCTTGGTGCGAGTGGCAGGAACAGGCCGGGCCGGGCTGGCGACGCGCACCGTAGGCTTGGTGCGAGTGGCAGGAACAGGCCGGGCCGGGCTGGCGACGCACACCGTAGGCTTGGTGGGAGTGGCAGGAACAAGCCGGGCCGGGCTGGCGACGCGCACCATTAGCTTGGTGCGGGGAGCAGGAACAGGCCGGGCCGGGCTGGCGACGCGCACCATTAGCTTGGTGCGGGGAGCAGGAACAGGCCCGGACGGGCTGGCGACGCGCACCATTGGCTTGGTGCGGGGAGCAGGAACAGGCCGAGCCGGGCTGGAGACGCGCACCGTAGGCTTGGTGCGAGGGGCAGGAACAGGCCGGGCCGGGCTGGCGACGCGCACCGTAGGCTTGGCGCGAGTGGCAGGAACAGGCCGGGCCGGGCTGGCGACGCGCACCGTAGGCTTGGCGCGAGTGGCAGGAACAGGCCGGGCCGGGCTGGCGGCGCGCACCGTAGGCTTGGTGCGAGTGGCAGGAACAGGCCGGGCCGGGCTGGCGACGCACACCGTAGGCTTGGTGCGAGTGGCAGGAACAAGCCGGGCCGGGCTGGCGACGCGCACCATTAGCTTGGTGCGGGGAGCAGGAACAGGCCGGGCCGGGCTGGCGACGCGCACCATTAGCTTGGTGCGGGGAGCAGGAACAGGCCGGGACGGGCTGGCGACGCGCACCATTGGCTTGGTGCGGGGAGCAGGAACAGGCCGAGCCGGGCTGGAGACGCACACCGTAGGCTTGGTGCGAGGGGCAGGAACAGGCCGGGCCGGGCTGGCGACGCGCACCATTGGCTTGGTGCAGGGAGCAGGAACAGGCCGGGCCGGGCTGGCAACGCACACCGTAGGCTTGGTGCGGGGAGCAGGAACAGGCCGGGCCGGGCTGGCGACGCGCACCATTGGCTTGGTGCGGGGAGCAGGAACAGGCCGGGCCGGGCTGGCGACGCGCACCATTGGCTTGGTGCGGGGAGCAGGAACAGGCCGGGCCGGGCTGGCGACGCGCACCATCAACTTAGTGCAGGGAGCAGGAACGGGCCGGACCGGACTGATGACGCACACCACTTGCTTGGTGTGAGTAGCGGGACTGGGTTTCTTCATAACCCTCCGCTCCCTCAGCTGCCTACACAGTTCCTCTCGCCGTGCCAGTAGCTCCACCCTCTGAACCACTAACTCCTGCTCCCTCTGGACCAATAGCCCCCTTAACCTGGTGGCCTCCTCACCCAACCTCCCAATACGCCCTGTAGCTGCCTCCTGCTGCCCCGTCGCCCATGCCGTGTGCCCCCCCCAAAAAAATTTTTTGGGGGTTGCCTCTCGCCCGTCCGACGACGACACTGTTGACGCCGTTGGTCCTCTCTCCGTCGCGCCTCCACCGTCTACTTCCACGGACGGCGATCCATCCCGGCCTGGATTTCCTCCCAGGTCCAGGACCCCTGCCAGTCCAATATCTGCTCCCACGTCCAGGCTATGGTGGGATCTTCTGTCACGATCGTCGAAGGAGGAGGACCAAGGTGCAGCGTGAAATGCAAACATACTTTATTATCAATAGTGATAACACGAACAAAACAATAAACGATAACGTGACGTCCTAGGTCTAACACAACCAACACAGAACAAGATCCCACAACTACTGTGGGAAAACAGCCTGTTTAAATGTGGTTCCCAATCAGAGACAACCAGCAACAGCTGACACTCGTTGCCTCTGATTGAGAACCACTCTGGCCAACATAGAAATGAAACAACTAGAACTACAACACAGAACACAAACACATAGAATCTACACACCCTGGCTCAACATATAGAGTCCCCAGAGCCAGGGTGTGACAAAACTGAGCAATCTGGGGATTGGTTTTATTTTATTAGGATCTCTTTTGGTCCTCATTTGGGCTAATCTTCCAAGAGTCCTTAAACATTAAAATACAATTTATAATATGATCACATTTTCACATATAACACACTGTTATTGAACATACACTCTAAAAAGTAAAGGTTCCTGGAGGATCCTTTAGGGGCTCTTCAAATTGAAACTGTGGGGGATCCACTGTAAGTTCTTCGAAGAACTCTTTAAAAGGGTTCTTCAATGAACCCCTTTTAATGGATCCTCAAATAAACTTTTTAAGAACCTTTTGGGGTTCATTTTTGAACTACCCCCCTCCCCTATTAATCTTATTATTACTAATATGCATAACAATAACAACAATAGCACAATATTTTAGTTGTCAGTGTTTATTATGATTTTAGTGGCAAAGCAGAAAAAAAAAATCTAAATATGAGGTAAACTCCCAGCAGAGCCCCAAGTCCCAATGGGTATATCCTCTGTCACGTTGATGTTAATGTGTTGATGTTCTCCATATCCATAGCCAGAAGGATTTTGCAGTGCATGGTGATCAAGGTTTCCTGTTATATTCATCAGAGGTGTAGGGAGGGTGAAGTCTGTGAATCTAAAAAAAAGTAGTTATACAGATGATTAACGAAACACACGACAGTATTCATACCTTGGTTTTTCTGCTAAATTTGAATGGAAAAAAAAAACTGTTTTGATAATGGTTTTCATACCTTGTCCATAATAAAGAGCCCTATGGGATATTCATTGTAGAGGTAAAGGAGAAGGATGGTAAATGTGATCTGCATAACATACCAATACCAATTGACATACCTTTGTATGCCTCCTCATCTGTATACCTGCAGACACAGACACAAAAGTGAGCAGTTCAGTCATCTGCACCCAATACAGCTAGCCTTCGACATATTCTTATAGCCTACAGTACATATTCTTACCTCTTCGTTGATTGATATCCATTGAATTGTGTCCATTTTCTGTTTTAGAAAGATTTGCACAAATAAGAAAAGATGGATAGTCTCATCAGAAAACAATATCAATTTAGATCATACAAGGGACAAATCTTACCTTAAATTGAGGAGATCTTTAAATTTTTCAGTTGCACCTGCTATCCTTTCAAATTCAAATCCAAAAGTTTCAGTTGGGTAGTTAGGTTCCTGCAAGAACCCCCACAATCTAAGGAGGTTCTTCGATGAACCCCACCACCTATAGGGTTCTTGGAATAACCTTTGGGTGCAATTTTTTCAGTGCCAAGAACCCTAAGGTTCTTCGAAGAACTTTGAAGATCTTAGAAGAACGCTTGTTGAACCCCTCATTTTTAGAGTGTAGGCTATAATCTCTCAGACACCCAGCGCATCCACAAGGGATCCCAACCTTTGTCACAGTTATTAATGAATCGGATGCAGCTGAGAAGAAGCGAAACAATAAATTGGTGAATTTTGTGGAAACCTGCCAGTTGTAACAAGCACGGTATCAAGAATTACAGACCGCAATTACCACCAGTTAGTTACATGTTGTTATTACACTGCAACTATGATTTGACAGTTAACTACAATACTTGTTACAGTGTAGTTACACATGTAATTACACTGCAACAAGGACCCCTTAAAAGGAAGTGTTACCGTATAGGTATTCAGTTGTTGTTTTTGTATGCTGAATTATGTAATTCTTCAGATATCAGACAGAACATGTGATATAAATCTAGTCTCCTCGCCACTGGAAAATTCACTTCAAAGCTTTGCCGCCATCTAGTGGAGATAAGGGAATATTTGAGTAGTGAATCATCAGAAACTAAACTGAGAAACTGAACATTTTGTGACTTGAAGGGAGGTGATTGATTTCCCTAACGGGTTCACACCGATAAAATTACATTGTCCGTGTTATGGACAGCAAGCTACTCACAACATCAATGCGAACGAACGGGACCAACACTTTGGTTTTAAACAGTGACGTCACAAAGGCAATTGCCATAGAAATAGAATTATAGTGACATGAACTGTATTCTAAAATAGGTTTATCAATCACTTTACTCACATCGGCAGATATTGTTATCTGTAGGCTGTTGTGGATTCGTATATTTTAAGTATATTTTTAAGTGCTTGGATCAACAACTGAATTAAGAAATTCAAGAGAACGCATGAGTAATAATAATTATTAATTATGAGATTATGATGAATGACGTTCTCTTGTTTTCAGCTTTTCTCACAATTTACTTTTCTTTTTAAAATCCAGGTGCGTGTATGATGGATACAAACCCTAACGTGTTAGGGCTGGAGGACCAGCATAGAACTGTAAGTAGCCCACAATGTTTGATTGTTGTAACAGCAGATATATGGTTTTGTAATCTGGCTATCTATCAGGTAATTGACAGCCCTTGATCTCTCTCATCACTTTACTCAAATACAACTGGCAGTTTTCTGACCCTTTGCCCATTAAAGTAAGTGTTGGGTTACTTGACTGGACTGAGAAATGTAACTTATATACCCTGCAAATAGTTTTTTCATAAATCACGATTTTTTTCACCTAAAATGGCACCCTATTCACTATGTAGTGCACTGCTTTTGACTAGGGCCTGACTACTTTTTAACAGGCCTGGACAAAAGTAGTGAATAGGGTGCCATTTGGGGACAAAAGTAGTGAATAGGGTGCCATTTGGGGACAAAAGTAGTGAATAGGGTGCCATTTGGGATGCATCCGTGAGTGATGATACTGTCCACTTCCAGGCTTCCTCCAGTTCCTCTAGCTGTAGGGAGACAAGTCATGCTGCAGTGACCTCAGGATCCAGAGTCAGTGGAGAGCAACATCCTCAGAAACCCAGCAAACAGCGCTCCCAACAGGGCTTCAGTGTACTACAGAAACTGTCTGCTGAGTAAGTTCAGTTACAGTGTATGTCCACTACCAGTCAAAAGTTTGGACACACGTACTCATTCAAGGGTTTTTCTTTATTTTTACTTTTTTTTTACATTGTAGAATAATAGTGAAGACATCAAAACTATGAAATAACACATATGGAATCATGTAGTAACCCAACATTTTTTAAACAAATCAAAATATATTTTGTATTTGAGATTCTTCAAATAGCCACCCTTTGCCTTGATGACAGCTTGGCACACTCTTGGCATTCTCTCAACCAGCTTCATGAGGTAGTCACCTGGAATGCATTTCAATTAACAGGTGTGCCTTGTTAAAAGTTAATTTGTGGAATTTATTTCCTTCTTAATGTATTTGAGCCAATTAGTTGTGTTGTGACAAGGTAGGGTGGGGTATACAGAAGATAGCCCTATTTGGTAAAAGACCAAGTCCATATTATGGCAAGAACAGCTCAAATAAGCAAAGAGAAAGGACAGTCCATCATTACTTTAAGACATGAAGGTCAGTCAATATTGAACATTTCAATAACTTTTAAAGTTTCTTCAAGTGCAGTTGCAAAAACCATCAAGCGCTATGATGAAACTGGCTCTCATGAGGACCACCACAGGAATGGAAGACCCAGAGTTATCTCTGCTGCAGAGGATAAGTTCATAAGAGTTACCAGCCTCAGAAATTGCAGCTCAAATAAATGCTTCAGAGTTCAAGTCACAGACACATCTCAACATCAACTGTTCAGAGGGGACTGTGTGAATCAGGCCTTCATGGTCGAATTGCTGCAAAGAAACCACTACTAAAGGACACCAATAAGAAGAAGATACCTGCTTGGGCCAAGAAACATGAGCAATGGACATTAGACCAGTGGAAATGTAACCTTTGGTCTGGAGTCCAAATTGGAGATATTTGGTTCCAACTGCTGTGTCTTTGTGAGACGCGGTGTGGGTGAACTGATGATCTCCGCATGTGTATTTCCCACTGTAAAGCATGGAGGAGGAGGTGTTATGGTGTGAGTGTGCTTTGTTTGTGACACTGTCTGTGATTTATTTAGAATTCAAGGCACACAGCATTCTGCAGCAATACGCCATCCCATCTGGTTTGGGCTTAGTGGGGCTATCATTTGTTTTTCCACAGGACAATGACCCAACACACCTCCAGGCTGTGTAAGTGCTATTTTACCAAGAAGGAGAGTGATGGAGTGCTGCATCAGATGACCTGGCCTCCACAGTCCCCCGACCTCAACCCAATTGAGATGGTTTGGGATGAGTCGGACGGTAAAGTGAAGGAAAAGCAGGCAACAAGTGCTAAGCATATGTGGGAACTCCTTCAAGACTGTTGGAAAAGCATTCCAGGTGAAGCTGGTTGAGAGAATGCCAAGAGTGTGCAAAGTTGTCATCAAGGCAATGGGTGGCTACCTTGTCACAACACAACAGATTGGCTAAACACGTTAAGAAGGAAAGAAATTCCACAGATTAACTTTTAACAAGGCACACCTGTTAATTGAAATGCATTCCAGGTGACTACCTCATGAAGCTGGTTGAGAGAATGCCAAGAGCGTGCAAAGCTGTCAGCAAGGCAAAGGGTGGCTACTATGAAGAATCTCAAATCTCAAATATATTTTGACTTGTTTAACACTTTTGGTTACTACATGATTCCATATGTGTTATTTCATAGTTTTGATATCTTCACTATTATTCTACAATGTAGAAAATAGTAAAAATAAAGAAAAAAAACTTGAATGAGTACGTGTGTCCAAACCTTTGACTGTGTAATAACTGTGTGTTTTTTTTTTTTAAATATATGTGTCGTTTTTTCTTGTATATAACCACTCCACAAAAGAAGTCCCCTGATTTAAAAAAAAAGTATTTTAATTCAATTTAATACAATAAGAAGCCTAATGTGAAATGTGTTACAAATGAACAAAGTACAGGAAATCATGTCACCCTACTGTATGTAGGGTAAATTATAAATACATAATTTCCCTGTTGACAATCTCAGAGAACGGAGGATCACGAATGAATGTCTACATGGTGTGGTGAGTCTAACCATTATGTAGAGTTTATAGAGGCAATCAGCTGGTGCTATATCTATTTGTGGACGTATAAATTAATGATATGTACCCATTGATCTTGAAGAAGATAAGTTATAAATGCCTCATTAGCTTAGTTCGACTGTCGTACCCCATCAGAACCCAAGATATGAACTTGTTTTACTCTAATGTTTGTAAACACAGTAAATGTAAACAAACAGCCTCAAAACATGGTTAAAACTATAGTCTTGATATCATGGATGGTCAGTCCTTGGCATCCTCTATTTATGAATTTGAGAGTGGTTACATTTCTCCAAACCCATCCCTCAGCTTTTTACTGAAACAGGGGCATTCTGTTTTGTTATTGTTTCTACGGCTGATTGCCCCTTTAAAGGTATTAGTTATTAGTATAAGATATTAGTTCAGAGATTTCAGTAACTATCCTTAAAGTCACATTGAGAAAGGTTACCATGTATCTCATTGCCGACTAAAGCGTTGTCAAATTATGAATTGATTCAACAATACAGTGGTTAAAAAGGAACCTCTACTGAAATGTTTTTATTTTCTCCTTTCTTCAAAATTCAGATTAGTTTGGAGGACCTGAGTCACGCATCGGATGGCATCATCGACTGGGTGGTGACCGTCACCACTGAAGTTCTCCTCCCTGCCCTCTCCCTGTCCAAAGCTCTGAGAAGCAGATCCTCCTCCAGCACTAAACAGGATCCACAGAGAAGGTCCCCATCAGAGGCCTCGCTGCTACAGGCCCCATCAATATCAACATCATCATCAACATCTCCACACTCTGGTGCCTCCCCAGTGAGACTGAGAATCATCCCCAAAATGTCCAGCTTCCTTACAGGCCAGGGTGACGCTACTGGTCGCCTTCTGGGGGGGCGGCCCCTTGGATCCCTGTTAGGTGGAGAGGTGAGGACAGATGCTGAGTTAGAACACAAGGCCAGCAGGGTGGTGGCTGTGGTTCTACAAGGGGTCTGGACTATGACATCAGTAGACACTAGCGACCCTGAGATGGGGGCTCTTCTCTCAGGCATTCTCAAGAACATCCCCATGGTGTTGAATCCTGCTGCTAGCTGCAGATAGAGAAAGCTCTGACAGTCAGAGTCCCTTGGAGACAGTTGACATTGGGCAGAGAATCAACCCAGGGTTTTTCCTCTCAGACGAGCACATCAGCGGTATTTGCTCAGACACGGTGACCAGCGCGTGCAGCAACGCCAGGTTCTCTGTATTGGAGGACAAGTCTCTAGGCTTCACTGATGACAGAACCCTGGCTCCTCCATCACCGCTTTGTCAGAAGTCCCAGTGTTGCCTGACGGCTGGGGAAGAGACAGGCAGGGCTCCCTCTCTCTCTGAGCAGCACAGCACCACCTCCCTACAGGGAAGACAGTCATGTTCCTCACACTGCAGCCAGACATCAGGGCAGAGTGCTGCCTCCCTCTCTGGTAGTCAGAGTCCAGACGAGCTCCTCACCCCTGAGGTGAAGCAGAGGATTATCATGGCTGTGGAGGAGATCATCACAGAGGGCGGTGAGGACGAAGCCTCTGGATCCACAGAGCTGTGTGAAGCTGTGTCACCAGGCTCTCGCCGCTTCACTCCCACTACCAGCCTGGCAGCCAGCAACATTTTGTCTGTTGTTCTGCACGGCCTAAAGGACACCATCGGTGCGGTTCAGTCCAAAGAGGTCACCAGGTCAGAGTTGGAAAAGACAATCAGCCAAAGCCTGGTCAACTCTGTGATGGTGATCCTGAAGAGTCGGTTGATGCTGGATGCTCAGGTTCCTGTGGTGCAGGGGGACAACTCCACCCTGAAGACCTCAGAGCAGATCCCACATGGAACCATGGAGACCCCAGAGCTGATCCCATCTGTAACCATGGAGACCTCAGAGCTGATCCCAGACAGAACCATAGAGCCTCAAGGATGTTCCTCAGACATAGCTGTGGATAAGAACCACATCTCCCTCCAAGGTGATGAGGACATGGCTTATGAGGCTAGCATCACCGCCACCTCTATCTTCTCCTCCATCGTGGATCTGGTGAATCCCATAAAGGACAGAAGGTCCACCTCATCCAGGGGAGGCTCTCAGGATCAGTGCCCCATGCGTGCCTTCCTGGACTCCAAGGACCTAGCAGGGTTCCTTCGCAGCCCTAACCTCCGCCGCTTCTCTGAGCAACTGATCTCGCACGTGGTGCGACTGATCCTGGATTCCAAAATGGCGAAGACGACGTCAGTGAGAACGTGTTTCTCAGACACGACAGTCACCAACCTGAGTGGAGGCCTTGACCTGTCCACAGAGTTCTGTACTGAGCTCCTCTACAGATTTGCGGAGGGGGCGGTCAAGAACCTTCTGGAGACTTTCCTGAGTGTTCCACACAGCCCTCCTGTGGAATCCTTCATGGAGGATTACAGCTGCATGGAAGAGAGGAACTGGGTGGTCTCTCCCACCCTCTCTAGTGCCAGGAGTGCATGCCTGGAGAGTGATGATGACTCCACAATCACACAAGAGTCAGGTGAAGTGGGCGTGGTCAAGCCCAGCTCTAGGAAAACCATCAATGATCTTCTATCTGACATGTTCATTGACAGAGTTGGAGAACTTCTCCTAGAGGGTTGTGATGATGATGAGGTTGAACAGACTGCTGACATAGTTGAAGAACGTCTCCAAGAGGCATGTGATGATGATGAGGTTGAACGTACTTCAAACAACAGTAAGATATCTGTACAAGCATATTTGGTTTGATCAACATAGGTCTGTCCATAAAGTGTCCATACAAAGCTAAGATGATTAGTAAGTCAGATTTGCTGTATTGGAAAAAAAATCTGACTTTTACAACATGGTATTTATATGGTGCACAACCATAGCGCTGTCACATTTCTTTAAGATAAGTGAAATAATAGATTATTGATGGTATCAACATGACATAAGGACCCAATTATCTTTGTGATTTAACTGTTGTGCATCTCCAGATTGCATGATGCCGGACATGATGTCAGAGACTTTGTCTAAGTATTCTCTTGAAGCTGAACTGGACGAGTGCAGAGCTGAATCAGTGGACTCAGCCGAGACAGAGCACAGCACCTCATCCTTCTGGCAGTCCAATCCCAGCCAGGCTTCCTTCAAGGCAGAAGCCTCATTAGATGCCTCCTGGCTGGCCTCACTGGAGGCGATGGTAGACCTCAGCTCTGCTAACAATGCTGCATTAACAGCTGACTGTCAGAACATGGCTTTGACTCAGAGCAGCAAAGGTGCAGCAGGCCACAAAGGCTGGCGCTGCATCCTCTGCTGCCAGACTGCTGAGGGGACTCCCATTGAGGTAGCAACACTATTATCACTATATCTCACAGACTATTACACATTCAAAAACATTGAAATGAAGTATCTTAATTTCAAAGAATTGATTAGAGAAATACATTATAGCAAAACATTAATGTCAAGTCAATGTCATGTTATGCCTCTGTGGTTAACAACAGCCTGAGGTGCCTAAAACTCTATCAAAGACAGCGAAGTTTCAGAACAAAAGCCAGAAGAAATCTTCCAAGCCTCGTAAAGGAAATAACTTCAATAATTCAGTGGCACCCCTGCCTGGTAAGTTTTCCTAACATAACAAATGCTCAGGTTACAGGTTACAGGTTGTGCGGAATTGTGTAAAGCTGTGTTCGATTGAAATACAGGTGACAGCAGCTATTACAGGCCTGTCAGAGTACTGATCTCTTGTTGATCTGTAGTTTCAGCTGCTGCAGAGAAACACAAGAAGCCCTCCTTTGGCTCCCGCTTGTCCGCTGCCTTCGCCAGGTTATTTTGTGGATGCTGTGGTAGCAAGAAGAAGATCAGACAGTAGAGAATCATATCAGCCACAAAGGATAACACCAGACATATTTCAGCGCTGGGTTTAAATAGTAAAACCCACATGAATAAATAAAGAAACATAATTGCACTCAAGTTCAACCATACCACAGCTTTTCCTTTATTGATCGTCTCCTGACAAAGTCCACCACATCTACATCAGATCTTTCACAAACAAGCAACAAAAAGGAAATAATTACGTACATTGATCCTTAATTAATTAACTGATTAATTTAATCAAAAATCTTCACATCAAAAGCATTACAACTATTTTTTTTTCAACTCCGTAGTACCACACAAAGACCACATAATTCTTACACAATGTATATATAATTGGTAGTTATGTCATTTTATTCAACTTTTTTCTTCATAATTGTTGGTCACACTTTATTTGGATAGTCCCATATAAATGATATACAGATGGTCATAGTATCGACTAAGTAGCTGTTGATAAGCAAATGTTTGCTAAGGTTATGGTTAGGGTTAGGTTTAGAATAAGGGTAAGGGTTAAGGTTAGGGCTAGGTTAAGGGTTAAGTTTAGGGTTAGGATAAGGGTAAGCTTAGGGTTAGTGCTAGCGTTAGGGTTAGTGGATAGTTAGTTGAAATGTTATTGACAGTTATTGAACATCTACAAACCATCTACAACCCATCTACTTGGGACTATCCAAATAAAGTGTTACCTAAATGTTTCGCCCCAGAAAGGTTTGCAACAGTAAAACATGACAAAGAAAATGTTTCCTGACTCAGAAAACAATGCCACACCTTACATAATGAACATAATGTTCTTTTGAAACACACACACTTTAAATGCATTAATACATATAGACATATGCTATTTTAATAATAGATACAATATATTATCTTCATTTATAACATAGTAATATCTGGTTAATAATAATGTATTAAAAATGTTATTTCATACATATATAATTACATGTTGTTCATAATTACACATGTGTTATGTATGCCACAAAATAAAAATGTCCTGTTGTTTTTATAATATCTGAAGGATATATATATATATACTTAAGAATCTCAAACAAAAAATTATTGAATAAATATACAATTCTTGAGCACGTTTTGCCTTGAAAAAAAAAAACACTCAGTCACATACACACATGGATCATTACGAACATTTGGAAACAGAAATCACTAAGATCTTCAGCTGTTGGCATGAAAGAAGAGATAAATAGCACTGGTCAGTCTGTAATCAACTGCTGGTATTCTAGTGCTAAATCAAATGAGAGGCTTCCGAGGCCACTTTGGGAGAATCTCAATTGCATACTCCTCGCATCCTCTCTCCTCACCTCCTTCTCTTTAATCCATTTTATGAGAAAGCCAGAGATTCCTCCCTTCTGACCTTCTCCTCCAATAGGTTTTGAGGAGGTGAGGAGAGAGGACAGGAGTATGCAATTGACACTCTCTCTTTGATTTTAAGGACATACACTATGTCAGTTACTAGTGTCAAGCCAGTGTTGGTCACATTTTGGTTGGCAGTCAACATTGTTGCATGGGTGTTGGTAATTGGCGGAAAAGGACTTCGCTTTTAAGTTGGTTACATACATCGGTCTTCTTTATTCGTGCTTACACGTCATCATTATTGAATTTGGTGCCTGCTGATGGAATGCTTAAGAATTTGATTAAAGGTTTACTGATTTATCTAGTTCGAGAATGTTCCGCTGTGAACAGTTGAGGACAATATCTGAGTTTGTGCTGGTGATGATGCAGCACATCTGTAACAGCTCAATTTCTGTTATTGTTGCTTGTCTATAGTTGTGCTTTACTGTTAGTTGTTCAGTTCCTGTATGTCATACCCTGTCCTTTGTCATGTATGATGGGATAACATTTCAGATTTAGCACTGTTAACAGTGGGTTTGGCTAGGGTGTTAATTTGGCATAGATATGGCAGAAAACATGAAACAATGCAGTCCTCCATGACCAAGAGTAGACACCATTTTACCTTTGCCAAACAAAGAAAGCTAAACTGGCAGAAAAGGGATGGCAAGCAGGTCCTAGGTCATTGTTCAATGACCGGGCTACAGTGTTGAGGCCCACAAAACACAGTGGTCTTTCGTAGGACTTGTGTTGCTCAGGTATCATCACCTATATCATCAGGCGACTATCTATTCCCTTTATGTTGGCCAGAAAGTAGCTTTGCACACCAATTGCCTTCCTAAGGTTCCTTCTTTAATATGTGTTGATATATGTGGGAGTATAGGTGTGTATGAGTTCCAAGACTGCATCCCGATTCTCCAACTTTCTCCCAAAGTGTGCACTTGCACACTCCCCAACAACGGTTGGTGGAAACTCCTTCCAGCCAATGCTTACACCAATCCATTGTATCCATGATGGGGAGTTTGCAAGTGCACACTTTGGGAGAAGGGGAATTTGGGTTCCCAAAACAAAAACCCCCGGAAGGAAAAGCAGGCAACAAGTGCTAAGCATATGTGGGAACTCCTTCAAGACTGTTGGAAAAGCATTCCAGGTGAAGCTGGTTGAGAGAATGCCAAGAGTGTGCAAAGTTGTCATCAAGGCAATGGGTGGCTACCTTGTCACAACACAACTGATTGGCTCAAACACGTTAAGAAGGAAAGAAATTCCACAGATTAACTTTTAACAAGGCACACCTGTTAATTGAAATGCATTCCAGGTGACTACCTCATGAAGCTGGTTGAGAGAATGCCAAGAGCGTGCAAAGCTGTCAGCAAGGCAAAGGGTGGCTACTATGAAGAATCTCAAATCTCAAATATATTTTGACTTGTTTAACACTTTTGGTTACTACATGATTCCATATGTGTTATTTCATAGTTTTGATATCTTCACTATTATTCTACAATGTAGAAAATAGTAAAAATAAAGAAAAAAAACTTGAATGAGTACGTGTGTCCAAACTTTTGACTGGTACTGTATGTATTAACTGTGTTTTTTTTTTTAATATATGTGTAGTTTTTTCTTGTAAAGTCCCCTGATTAAAAAAAAAGTATTTTAATTCAATTTAATACAATAAGAAGCTTAATGTGAAATGTGTTACAAATGAACAAAGTACAGGAAATCATGTCACCCTACTGTATGTAGGGTAAATTATAAATACATCATTTCCCTGTTGACAATCTCAGAGAACGGAGGATCACGAATGAATGTCTACATGGTGTGGTGAGTCTAACCATTATGTATAGTTTATAGAGGCAATCAGCTGGTGCTATATCTATTTGTGGACGTATAAATTAATGATATGTACCCATTGATCTTGAAGAAGATAAGTTATAAATGCCTCATTAGCTTAGTTCGACTGTCGTACCCCATCAGAACTCAAGATATGAACTTGTTTTACTCTAATGTTTGTAAACACAGTAAATGTAAACAAACAGCCTCAAAACATGGTTAAAACTATAGTCTTGATATCATGGATGGTCAGTCCTTGGCATCCTCTATTTATGAATTTGAGAGTGGTTACATTTCTCCAAACCCATCCCTCAGCTTTTTACTGAAACAGGGGCATTCTGTTTTGTTATTGTTTCTACGGCTGATTGCCCCTTTAAGGTATTAGTTATTAGTATAAGATATTAGTTCAGAGATTTCAGTAACTATCCTTAAAGTCACATTGAGAAAGGTTACCATGTATCTCATTGCCGACTAAAGCGTTGTCAAATTATGAATTGATTCAACAACACAGTGGTTAAAAAGGAACCTCTACTGAAATGTTTTTATTTTCTCCTTTCTTCAAAATTCAGATTAGTTTGGAGGACCTGAGTCACGCATCGGATGGCATCATCGACTGGGTGGTGACCGTCACCACTGAAGTTCTCCTCCCTGCCCTCTCCCTGTCCAAAGCTCTGAGAAGCAGATCCTCCTCCAGCACTAAACAGGATCCACAGAGAAGGTCCCCATCAGAGGCCTCGCTGCTACAGGCCCCATCAATATCAACATCATCATCAACATCTCCACACTCTGGTGCCTCCCCAGTGAGACTGAGAATCATCCCCAAAATGTCCAGCTTCCTTACAGGCCAGGGTGACGCTACTGGTCGCCTTCTGGGGGGGCGGCCCCTTGGATCCCTGTTAGGTGGAGAGGTGAGGACAGATGCTGAGTTAGAACACAAGGCCAGCAGGGTGGTGGCTGTGGTTCTACAAGGGGTCTGGACTATGACATCAGTAGACACTAGCGACCCTGAGATGGGGGCTCTTCTCTCAGGCATTCTCAAGAACATCCCCATGGTGTTGAATCCTGCTGCAGCTGCAGATAGAGAAAGCTCTGACAGTCAGAGTCCCTTGGAGACAGTTGACATTGGGCAGAGAATCAACCCAGGGTTTTTCCTCTCAGACGAGCACATCAGCGGTATTTGCTCAGACACGGTGACCAGCGCGTGCAGCAACGCCAGGTTCTCTGTATTGGAGGACAAGTCTCTAGGCTTCACTGATGACAGAACCCTGGCTCCTCCATCACCGCTTTGTCAGAAGTCCCAGTGTTGCCTGACGGCTGGGGAAGAGACAGGCAGGGCTCCCTCTCTCTCTGAGCAGCACAGCACCACCTCCCTACAGGGAAGACAGTCATGTTCCTCACACTGCAGCCAGACATCAGGGCAGAGTGCTGCCTCCCTCTCTGGTAGTCAGAGTCCAGACGAGCTCCTCACCCCTGAGGTGAAGCAGAGGATTATCATGGCTGTGGAGGAGATCATCACAGAGGGCGGTGAGGACGAAGCCTCTGGATCCACAGAGCTGTGTGAAGCTGTGTCACCAGGCTCTCGCCGCTTCACTCCCACTACCAGCCTGGCAGCCAGCAACATTTTGTCTGTTGTTCTGCACGGCCTAAAGGACACCATCGGTGCGGTTCAGTCCAAAGAGGTCACCAGGTCAGAGTTGGAAAAGACAATCAGCCAAAGCCTGGTCAACTCTGTGATGGTGATCCTGAAGAGTCGGTTGATGCTGGATGCTCAGGTTCCTGTGGTGCAGGGGGACAACTCCACCCTGAAGACCTCAGAGCAGATCCCACATGCAACCATGGAGACCCCAGAGCTGATCCCATCTGTAACCATGGAGACCTCAGAGCTGATCCCAGACAGAACCATAGAGCCTCCAGGATGTTCCTCAGACATAGCTGTGGATAAGAACCACATCTCCCTCCAAGGTGATGAGGACATGGCTTATGAGGCCAGCATCACCGCCACCTCTATCTTCTCCTCCATCGTGGATCTGGTGAATCCCATAAAGGACAGAAGGTCCACCTCATCCAGGGGAGGCTCTCAGGATCAGTGCCCCGTGCGTGCCTTCCTGGACTCCAAGGACCTAGCAGGGTTCCTTCGCAGCCCTAACCTCCGCCGCTTCTCTGAGCAACTGATCTCGCACGTGGTGCGACTGATCCTGGATTCCAAAATGGCGAAGACGACGTCAGTGAGAACGTGTTTCTCAGACACGACAGTCACCAACCTGAGTGGAGGCCTTGACCTGTCCACAGAGTTCTGTACTGAGCTCCTCTACAGATTTGCGGAGGGGGCGGTCAAGAACCTTCTGGAGACTTTCCTGAGTGTTCCACACAGCCCTCCTGTGGAATCCTTCATGGAGGATTACAGCTGCATGGAAGAGAGGAACTGGGTGGTCTCTCCCACCCTCTCTAGTGCCAGGAGTGCATGCCTGGAGAGTGATGATGACTCCACAATCACACAAGAGTCAGGTGAAGTGGGCGTGGTCAAGCCCAGCTCTAGGAAAACCATCAATGATCTTCTATCTGACATGTTCATTGACAGAGTTGGAGAACTTCTCCTAGAGGGTTGTGATGATGATGAGGTTGAACAGACTGCTGACATAGTTGAAGAACGTCTCCAAGAGGCATGTGATGATGATGAGGTTGAACGTACTTCAAACAACAGTAAGATATCTGTACAAGCATATTTGGTTTGATCAACATAGGTCTGTCCATAAAGTGTCCATACAAAGCTAAGATGATTAGTAAGTCAGATTTGCTGTATTGGAAAAAAAATCTGACTTTTACAACATGGTATTTATATGGTGCACAACCATAGCGCTGTCACATTTCTTTAAGATAAGTGAAATAATAGATTATTGATGGTATCAACATGACATAAGGACCCAATTATCTTTGTGATTTAACTGTTGTGCATCTCCAGATTGCATGATGCCGGACATGATGTCAGAGACTTTGTCTAAGTATTCTCTTGAAGCTGAACTGGACGAGTGCAGAGCTGAATCAGTGGACTCAGCCGAGACAGAGCACAGCACCTCATCCTTCTGGCAGTCCAATCCCAGCCAGGCTTCCTTCAAGGCAGAAGCCTCATTAGATGCCTCCTGGCTGGCCTCACTGGAGGCGATGGTAGACCTCAGCTCTGCTAACAATGCTGCATTAACAGCTGACTGTCAGAACATGGCTGTGACTCAGAGCAGCACAGGGGCAGCAGGCCACAAAGGCTGGCGCTGCATCCCCTGCTGCCAGACTGCTGAGGGGACTCCCATTGAGGTAGCAACACTATTATCACTATATCTCACAGACTATTACACATTCAAAAACATTGAAATGAAGTATCTTAATTTCAAAGAATTGATTAGAGAAATACATTATAGCAAAACATTAATGTCAAGTCAATGTCATGTTATGCCTCTGTGGTTAACAACAGCCTGAGGTGCCTAAAACTCTATCAAAGACAGCGAAGTTTCAGAACAAAAGCCAGAAGAAATCTTCCAAGCCTCGTAAAGGAAATAACTTCAATAATTCAGTGGCACCCCTGCCTGGTAAGTTTTCCTAACATAACAAATGCTCAGGTTACAGGTTACAGGTTGTGCGGAATTGTGTAAAGCTGTGTTCAATTGAAATACAGGTGACAGCAGCTATTACAGGCCTGTCAGAGTACTGATCTCTTGTTGATCTGTAGTTTCAGCTGCTGCAGAGAAACACAAGAAGCCCTCCTTTGGCTCCCGCTTGTCCGCTGCCTTCGCCAGGTTATTTTGTGGATGCTGTGGTAGCAAGAAGAAGATCAGACAGTAGAGAATCATATCAGCCACAAAGGATAACACCAGACATATTTCAGCGCTGGGTTTAAATAGTAAAACCCACATGAATAAATAAAGAAACATAATTGCACTCAAGTTCAACCATACCACAGCTTTTCCTTTATTGATCGTCTCCTGACAAAGTCCACCACATCTACATCAGATCTTTCACAAACAAGCAACAAAAAGGAAATAATTACGTACATTGATCCTTAATTAATTAACTGATTAATTTAATCAAAAATCTTCACATCAAAAGCATTACGACAATTTTTTTTTCCAACTCCGTAGTAGCACACAAAGACCACATAATTCTTACACAATGTATATATAATTGGTAGTTATGTCATGTTATTCAACTTTTTTCTTCATAATTGTTGGTCACACTTTATTTGGATAGTCCCATATAAATGATCTACAGATGGTCATAGTATCGACTAAGTAGCTGTTGATAAGCAAATGTTTGCTAAGGTTATGGTTAGGGTTAGGTTTAGAATAAGGGTAAGGGTTAAGGTTAGGGCTAGGTTAAGGGTTAAGTTTAGGGTTAGGATAAGGGTAAGCTTAGGGTTAGTGCTAGCGTTAGGGTTAGTGGATAGTTAGTTGAAATGTTATTGACAGTTATTGAACATCTACAAACCATCTACAACCCATCTACTTGGGACTATCCAAATAAAGTGTTACCTAAATGTTTCGCCCCAGAAAGGTTTGCAACAGTAAAACATGACAAAGAAAATGTTTCCTGACTCAGAAAACAATGCCACACCTTACATAATGAACATAATGTTCTTTTGAAACACACACACTTTAAATGCATTAATACATATAGACATATGCTATTTTAATAATAGATACAATATATTATCTTCATTTATAACATAGTAATATCTGGTTAATAATATTGTATTAAAAATGTTATTTCATACATATATAATTACATGTTGTTCATAATTACACATGTGTTATGTATGCCACAAAATAAAAATGTCCTGTTGTTTTTATAATATCTGAAGTATATATATATATATATACTTAAGAATCTCAAACTAAAAATAATTGAATAAATATACAATTCTTGAGCACGTTTTGCCTTGAAAAAAAAAAACACTCAGTCACATACACACATGGATCATTACGAACATTTGGAAACAGAAATAACTAAGATCTTCAGCTGTTGGCATGAAAGAAGAGATAAATAGCACTGGTCAGTCTGTAATCAACTGCTGGTATTCTAGTGCTAAATCAAATGAGAGGCTTCCGAGGCCACTTTGGGAGAATCTCAATTGCATTCTCATCGCATCCTCTCTCCTCACCTCCTTCTCTTTAATCCATTTTATGAGAAAGCCAGAGATTCCTCCCTTCTGACCTTCTCCACCAATAGGTTTTGAGGAGGTGAGGAGAGAGGACAGGAGTATGCAATTGACACTCTCTCTTTGATTTTAAGGACATACACTATGTCAGTTACTAGTGTCAAGCCAGTGTTGGTCACATTTTGGTTGGCAGTCAACAGTGTTGCATGGGTGTTGGTAATTGGCGGAAAAGGACTTCGCTTTTAAGTTGGTTACATACATCGGTCTTCTTTATTCGTGCTTACACGTCATCATATGAATGGTGCATGCTCTGATGAATGCTTAAGAATTTGATTAAAGGTTTACTGATTTATCTAGTTTGCAAGTGCACACTTTGGGAGAAGGGTGGACAATTGGATTCACAAGTGAATTAAGGCTGCAGAAAATAACCCCTCTTCTGGTTAGAACTCTGTCTGATCTCATGGAGGTGGCCAACCAACACTGCAACCCCCCCCCACACCCACACTGAAGGCAAACTGGTTCCGGACACCGACACACACACCGACCATGGTCTCTGAGAAGCCCCTCGCTCTCCCCCATATCCTGCAAACCCAGTAATGTTGTAGAACTCTCACACTCACACACACCAGTGATTGACCAACCCTTGGTCCTGTCCCACCCCGTTAGCCACACAAAGTCCCTGTCAGCTATTCAAGTCTCAGATCTGTTAGTGCCATCTTGCCAACTCCTACAGTCCCTTCAGAAAGTATTCATACCCCTCGATTTATTCCACATTTTGTTGGTTACAGCCGGAATTCAAAATGGATTACATAAATTTTTTATCTAACCCATCTACACACAATACCTCATAATGATAAAGTGAAAGCATGTTTTTAAAAAGTTTAGGACATTTATTGAAAATGAAATACAGAAATATCTAATTTACATAAGTATTAACACCCCTGAGTCAATACATGTTTGAATCTCCTTTGGCAGCGATTACATCGATGAGTCTTTCTGGGTAAGTCTAAGAGCTTTGCACACCTGGATTGTACAATATTTGCACATTATTATTTTTAATATTCTTCAAGCTCTGTCCAGTTGGTTGTTGATTATTGCTAGACAGCCTTTTCAAGTCTTGCCATATATTTTCAAGTCGATTTAAGTCAAAATTGTAACTAGGCAATTCAGGAACATTCAATGTCATCTTGGTAAGCAACTTCAGTGTATATTTGGCCTTGTGTTTTAGGTTATTGTGCTGCTGAAAGGTGAATTTGTCTCCCAGTGTCTGTTGGAAAGCAGACTGAACCTGGTTTTCCTCAAATATTTTGCCTGTGCTTAGCTCTATTCCATCTCTTTTTATTCTGAAGAAAAACCCTAGTCCTTGCTGATGACAAGCATACCCATAACATGATGCAGCCACCACCATGCCTGAAAATATGAAGAGTGGTGGTCAGTGATGATTTGTGTTGGATTTGCAACAAACATAACGCTTTGTACTCTGGACATAAAGTTGATTTCTTTGCAGTTTTATTTTAGTGCCTTATTGCAAACAGGAATATTTTGTATTCTGTACAGGCCTCCTCCTTTTCACCCTGTCATTTAGGTTAGTATTGTGGAGTAACTAAAATGTTGTTGATCCATTCTCAGTTTTCCCCTATCACAGCCATTAAACTCTTTACCTGTTTTAAAGTCACCATTGGCCTCGTGGTGAAATCCCTGAGCGGTTTCCTTGAGTTAGGAAGGATGCCTGTATCTTTGTAGTGACTGGGTGTATTGATGCAACATCCAAAGTCTAATTAATAACTTCACCATGCTCAAATTAAGAAAATGTTTAGTCCTGAACTTATTTAGGCTTGCCATAAATAAAGGTTTGAATACTTATTGACTCAAGATATTTCAGATTTTCATTTAAAAATAAATATGTACACATTTCTAAACGCATAATTCCACTTTGTGGGCTACTGTGTGTAGGCCAGCGACACAAAATCGAAATGTAATAGATTTGAAATTCAGGCTGTAACACAACAAAATGTGGAAATACTTTCTGAAGGCACTGTATTTCATTATCACACCTAACACAAACAGATCTGGGACTTGGCTACCTTTAAGCCACCCCATGTCCCCATAAACCACTAAAATGCCCCCTTAAACCACCTCTGATGCTGAGTAAGCCCCTCCCTGGGCCTTCTCCTCCTCCCTTGGCCCTCTGGCTTAGTACTCCTGGCCCTGGTAGCCAGCGGAGCCGTCAAAGGCTGGCTCCGTGCTGGCCACGGGGTCAATGTCGGCAGTGTAGCCTGTGTAGTCAGTGCCCATGGGGGCCACAGTGTTGGGGTCAGCGGTGGGGTCAACATACTCCTGGGAGAAGAGGGCCGAGTCAGCCCCCAGCTTGTACTTCTGAAAGCCCAGGAAGGCCTGCACCGCCTTCAGAGCAGAGAGGGTGTTATGGGACGGGCAGGCAATTGGAAAGGGAATGGGCAATAATATAGAGGCGATAGCAAACAATGTATGCGTGAAGAGGGATCACAGACCATAAGGGCAGCGAGCGATTGGAAAGGGGATGGGCAACAACATGAGAGCAATAGCAAAACAATATATATGTGGGTGGGGGGATAAACAGGAAAGGTGGAGACATGGGGTTGTGTGGGTGGAATTTGAATATGACAGATGGGATGACGCGATAGACGGAACCAATGATAGTGGGGGAGGGGGATATATCAGGGAGCATGCCATTGATTTAAAAGGTATGAAGTAAGGTTAGGAGGACGAATGGTAGTTAGATGATAAGAAGGGTGGGATAACGAGAGAAAAAGAGAGGGAGGAAGAAGGAAGAGAGAAAATGTGTTTGATTAGAGCGGGAGGATTAAGTCCGTTAGTCGGCTTTAAGTGGGGAGTGTCAAAACAGATTACAGTCAGTGGTCTTGGAGTGAAGTGAGTAACCTTTCACCTGATCAGGCACTGTCTTTGTTTTTCCTTTTTAATACAACAATAACAATGTATCATAAATAATAAACATTCACAAATCATCCCAGTGTCATATACAAAGCAAAAATACCCAAACTAAATAAAAAAATCTGATTTTAATCCTAACTCATAACACAAAATAACAGACATAGATTCACATAGTGGTTGCAGCCAGCTGGACCTGGTAACACTAATTGCACGTCATTAAGCTGTAGTAGTTAGCTAAAGCTGTGGCGTGTGTGTATGGGGGAGCATAAGGCTAGATTAGGGAGAGGAGGTGAACAGAGGTCATAGCTTTTCCTTCACATATTTGCCGTTTTGGCATTGAAATACAATGTGAACAATTAACAATTACTACATATCTAAGATACAATCTAACAAGGTTTGGGTTCAAATTGACATGAACTCTGTACATTTGTATCACTTTCTAATAATTTCCTGAATTGACAGAGTTGACCCCAACCTTGCAAAGTGGCTCTACAGAAAATGTACAATCTAATTTGAATGGTACCATGAAATCAAATGATTTTTATAAAAAGTTCTAAACAAAAGAATCCTTTACATAAAAATGAATTGAGACAACCAGCTTAGGTAAACATAGCTAAAATGGTGGATTACTATGCCAGGCAATGAGAACCTGATATGTCAACAGTACCACTTTTTTAACCCCACAAAGACACTCATTTTTGGCAATGGTTTGATATCAAGGCACTTTGGAAGGGCAATCTGAGTCCAGCAAGCATATCCTAGCTGTAAACACTAGGCAATTATAGTAAACACATACAAGGTTCTCCTTCACTGTGTTTGGCCATCTAAGGAGGACATCATTCAGACAGCCTGGATGGGAAGTTGGTGTGAGGGAAATAATGTTAAGTATACAGTGAGGGAAAAAAGTATTTGATCCCCTGCTGATTTTGTACATTTGCCCACTGACAAAGAACTGATCAGTCCATAATTTTAATGGTAGGTTTATTTGAACAGTGAGAGACAGAATAACAACAAAAAAATTAAGAAAAACGCATGTCAAAAATGTTATAAATTGATTTGCATTTTAATGAGGGAAATAAGTATTTGACCCCCTCTCAATCAGAAAGATTTCTGGCTCCCAGGTGTATTTTATACAGGTAACGATCTGAGATTAGGAGCACACTCTTAAAGGGAGTGCTCCTAATCTCAGCTTGTTACCTGTATAAAAGACACCTGTCCACAGAAGCAATCAATCAATCAGATTCCAAACTCTCCACCATGGCCAAGACCAAAGAGCTCTCCAAGGATGTCAGGGACAAGATTGTAGACCTACACAAGGCTGGAATGGGGTACAAGACCATCGCCAAGCAGCTTAGTGAGAAGGTGACAACAGTTGGTGCGATTATTCCCAAATGGAAGAAACACAAAATAACTGTCAATCTCCCTCGGCCTGGGGCTCCATGCAAGATCTCACCTCGTGGAGTTGCAATGACCATGAGAACGGTGAGGAATCAGACCAGAACTACACGGGAGGATCTTGTCAATGATCTCAAGGCAGCTGGGACCATAGTCACCAAGAAAACAATTGGTAACACACTACGCCATGAAGGACTGAAATCCTGCAGCGCCCGCAAGGTCCCCCTGCTCAAGAAAGCACATATACAGGGCTGTCTGAAGTTTGCCAATGAACATCTGAATGATTCAGAGGAGAACTGGGTGAAAGTGTTGTGGTCAGATGAGACCAAAATCAAGCTCTTTGGCATCAACTCAACTCGCCGTGTTTGGAGGAGGAATGCTGCCTATAACCCCAAGAACACAATCCCCCACCGTCAAACATGGATGTGGAAACATTATGCTTTGGGGGTGTTTTTCTGCTAAGGGGACAGGACAACTTCAACGCATCAAAGGGACGATGGACAGGGCCATGTACCGCCAAATCTTGGGTGCGAACCTCCTTCCCTCAGCCAGGGCATTGAAAATGGGTCGTGGATGGGTATTCCAGCATGACAATGACCCAAAACACACGGCCAAGGCAACAAAGGAGTGGCTCAAGAAGAAGCACATTAAGGTCCTGGAGTGGCCTAGCCAGTCTCCAGACCTTAATACCATAGAAAATCTGTGGAGGGAGCTGAAGGTTCAAGTTGCCAAACGTCAGCCTCGAAACCTTAATGACTTGGAGAAGAGTGGAACAAAATCCCTCCTGAGATGTGTGCAAACCTGGTGGCCAACTACAAGAAACGTCTGACCTCTGTGATTGCCAACAAGGGTTTTGCCACCAAGTACTAAGTCATGTTTTGCAGAGGGGTCAAATACTTATTTCCCTCATTAAAATGCAAATCAATTTATAACATTTTTGACATGTGTTTTTCTGGATATTTTTGTTGTTATTCTGTCTCTCACTGTTCAAATAAACCTACCATTAAAACTATAGACTGATCATGTCTTTGTCAGTGGGCAAACGTACAAAATCAGCAGGGGATCAAATACTTTTTTCCCTCACTGTAAGGGTCAGGATATCTATCATTAGGCTAGTGGTGGTGTGGGCTGTGGAATGAACAGTTTGTTGTACTCTTCTTCGAACGACACTCTCTTTATCCTCTCCAGGGACAGCAGTGTCAGAGCACCCTAGAGAGAGACAGACAGGTCAGGGACTGGATCAGTGGACAGTTATGGGATAGAAAGGGTGGTGAGAATGACCCCAATATTCACCAGATACAATCCTTCCATAAAGTTATGTATCATAACACAACTTTTTAAGCTTTTTCTAGACTGAGACAGAAGCAAAGTTTAAATTAGCGAATTGGGAGAAACATAGTTCAGATCCAGCAAAAAAACAGAGATTAGGCCTTATTGTATAGACAAAAACACAGCATAGACTGAGATTAAAATGGAGAAAAAGAGGAATCTAAAACAGACCCAGAGAAGATAAAATAAGGAGAGAAAGTTTAGATCCAGGTTACACATTTGCAGAAAAACAGAAGACAGTAGACACATCTACAGATGAAGAAAAAGCAGTGTGTTAAACAGAGGTAGGTTAAGAGGAGTAGAACGTTAGGACCCAGCTTCAGACGGAGCAGAATTAGAGCCTCATGAAGAAGGCAGAGTTGTTATGTAACCAATTTAATTGAAGGGTCACCGATGGAAAGAATGTGATATGAATCCATTTTGCGTAATATAAATAATATTTTCTATATTGTAGACGTACAAATGGCCATTACACCAGACAGGAAGGTTAATGAAATGGAGGGCTGTTGTACTGTACGTACCCAGGTGAAGATGGAGAAGAAGGCGAAGGTAATGGCGGCTCGGGCTGCGTCCGCGCCCTCCCTTAGAGGGTTATCCTCCTCCTTGGCAACCTGCCACTGGTTGGCCAGGAAACAGAACCCCACAAACCAGACAAACGACCAGAATGCTACAGGAAGGAGGGAGGGAGAGAGAGCGAGAGAGAGAGAATTACAAATGTAAAAACCATTAATACTATGGGTGGTAAAACTAAAGAAAAACATCTGCTCTTGAAATGTAATATCATACTCAGTAATACCACATTGCAAATGTCATGCCAATAACAGACTGAAACAAGCCGCTGACATGAGTATGTTTGCGCATTATGAGCAACACCACAAAGGTCATGAAACAATATAAAAAAACATATCAACTACTGATACACAACATATTTTGCAACCATTTTTACAAGCCACAATAGCCTCACAGGAATCAAAGCCGAGCCTCAAAGGTCATAATGACTATGTTAGGGTTTATCGGCCACACCACAGCTAACCAGAGGGGGGCACCTGTGCACATACAAAATGGCTCCTACAGAACTCAAGTCTGCCAACGTCCTAGACCTGTGATTAAAATTCCAGGGCTCTGTTCCAATACTATTAATATGCATCCTTCTTTAATCCTTTCCTTGAAGTAATCACCAATCTGATATAATATAATTGGTGAGAGCAATGCAGTAAAGAGCTTGCTTCCACGCCAATCCAGTCATGTCGGAGTGATTACATCAAGGAAAGGAGGAAGGAGGCATTCTACATTTTAAGAGTATACAGACAGGGCCAAGCATGCCTAATGGCTATTGAGGAAACAAGACCTTTATCAATATCCATGTATTGATCAGTGTTTTCTAAGAGTTTAGAAAGGCTAAAGACAAAAGTCACATCCACCTCTGAACCAAATCTCCACAAAGCACCCAGATAAACCGTGTGCCTCCAAAGCCTTATCATAATACGTCATTTAGCAGACGCTTTTATCCAAAGCGACTTACAGTCATGCGTGCATAATTATTATTTTTTTGTGTATGGGTGGTCCTGGGGATCGAACCCACTACCCTGGCGTTACAAGCGCCATGCTCTACCAGCTGAGCTACAGAGGACCAACTTCTCAACTAAAACAACCCCCGTCTTTGCTGTTAACGAACACACAATCACCTCCCACATCCCCCAGTCAAAGCGCAAACTCACACCAACAAGCCAAAACAACATCCTTCCTGTGTGGGGTGAAGTTGATCTGTGGTCAGTTTTGCATTTCCACCAGTAATGGTTAAGGTTAGGATTGGGGGAGGATAAGCTGTTCCTAGATCGGTGCCTAGGGGAAACTACACCCCAGAGCTTACCAGACACTCCGATGTCAGCAAGCACAGCCTTCTTGCGGTCCTTGACGCTGCTGATCTGGGGGAAGTAGACATCCAGGGCCAGGAAGGCAGCACAGCTGAGAAAAGCCAGGGTTCCCATCCCCACTGCGTAGTTACAGGCATTCTGGTTCCTGTTGAAGATGCAGAACTCCTCAATCTCGTCAGGCCGGTTCACGTAGCCCTCATTGGCGATACAGCCAAAGATCACAATGGAGAAGAGCTGGGGGAAAAATAGAGGGACGGGAGATCGAAAGGGTGTGAGAAAGAAGTGGATTGAGGAGAGCGGGTAGAGTAGAGTAGGGAGAAAAGGAGAAATGCAAAGGAGCAAAAGCCTGCAAAACCATTAGAACCAGCAGGAGAGTTGGCAACCCCCTGATCTACAGCAGTGGTTCCCAACCTTTTTTGGTTACCGTACCACCAACTGAATTTTGCTCTGCCCAGAGTACCCTTGAGGTACACCCTCATGTAACCCTATGGACTCATGAGTCTTTTCAAGTACCCCCTGTGGATAGGCCAAGTACCTACAGGGGTCCTAGTACCCCTGGTTGGGAACCACTGATCTAGAGCATACAGTAGCAAAATCAATGTGGATGGTACATCAGTAGCACAAGCTGATAGTTTTTTGCATCCTATGTAAATCTGTCATAGTAATGTCTGGCGTCATACAGAGAAGAGACAACATGATCATATGGTCGCACCCCTCTCCTCAATGACGCTAAGTGACGGTTTGTGGTGAGGCAAATCCAAAACCTATAAATCCACTGTTACATTTTTACCCAGTTGTCTACAATCAGATATTTGTGTGACAGGACCTGATTTGACATGAGTGTAGATGATGCAACATCCTAATGACAGATCATGTGAAACAGTAAGCGAAGTCAAAACTGGCCCCTTGTTGACCTCTTGCCCAATGCCAGTAACTACATCATAAAACCACTAGGAATTATAACAGCATTAAAAACCTCTACTCATTGAATTCACATACATTAGAAGCAACATACAACTGCTTTAATCCAGGTTCAGGCCAGGGTTGATGTTTGTTTCGTTGATGACGAGATGGGATGATATTAGGGGGCTTGTGTATACTACTGCATCTATTGCGCTCAGGTACATGCACAAATAGGAGTCAACCTGTGCCCAGCACCTGCCCCTTTGACCTCCCACTGTAGTTTTTGAATGAGTAGTTGTGTCCAAACTTTTGACTGGTACTGTAAGTACAACCAGGAAACCAGAAATGCCAACTCCCTACATAGAGATGGCTAGCTGAAATATAGGCCTGCCATGAGGTTACAGGTGTGCATGTGCACGCATAAGTAGCCTACAGCTCAACAAAACAAACACAGGAGGAAAAGGCACATTCATCCTAGACAAACCAACCTTCAAACCCAATTTTTGCTATGGAAATATCAACAGAACAGTGTGAAAACTGGTTACAGTAATTTCAACGAAACAGTGCGAAAACCAGTTACAAAATTACAACCGATTGCTAGAGCAAGGTTGGTAATAGCAACTTCAAAACAAAACACTTCACTACCTACTACAACCCTGTTCCTAGAAAGCTAAGTGAGGTCCATATTCTCCACTGGTCTTTATATGCCATTTAGCAGACGCTTTTATCCAAAGCGACTTACAGTCATGCGTGCATACATTTCTTTTTTGTGTATGGGTGGTCCCAGGGATCGAACCCACTACCTTGGCGTTACAAGCGCCATGCTCTACCAGCTGAGCTACAGATGTCTTCTTGGAGCAGATTGGCCTCAGCTACTTACATCATAAGCCCTTATAAATCTCCCAGTCCATCTTTACCTAAAGGCAAAATCCTGTGCCCAGTAAAGCGTCTAGATCCAGATGCTGGTTTTGGCTGGAGGAACAACTATTATTCAAAGAGACAGCTGGGATCAAGGAAGAGGAGTCAGGACCTTTGATAAAAGAGAGTCAGGACCTTGATAAAGGAATTGGAGAGTCAGTACTGATAAAGGAAAGAACGTCAGGACCTTGATAAAGGAGAGAGGTCAGTAACCTTGAGAAAGAAAGAATGTCAGGACTTGATAAAGGAAGAGTACCTTGTTAAAGGAAGAGAGTCAGTAGTACCTTGATAAAGGAAGAGTACCTTGATAAAGAAGAGAGTCAGTTACCTTGATAAAGGAGAAGAGTACTTTTAAAGGAAGAGAGTCAGTACCTGATAAAGGAAAGAGGTCAGTACCTTGATAATAAAGGAGAGAGTCAGTACCTTGATAAAGGAAGAGAGGTTGGCAGTACTTGATAAATAAAGAACGTCAGGACATTGTAAGGAAGAAGTCAGTACCTTGATAATAAAGGAGAGAGTCAGTACCTTGATAAAGGCAAGAGAGTCAGCTACCCTGAAAAGGAAGAGTGACTTTAAGGAAAGAGAGTCAGTACCGTATTAAGGAAGAGAGTCAGTACTTGATAAAGGAAAGAGTCAGTACCTGATAAATAAAGAAGCCAGGACCTTGATAAAGGAGAGAAGTCAGTTACCTGATAAAGGAAGCGAGTCAGTACATTGATAAAGGAAGAGTCAGAACCTTGATAAAGAGAGTCAGACTTGACGTTGATGCCCTTGTCGTCTGGCTGATGCTCGATGATCGACGAGGGCGGGGCGTGACAAGGATTGGAAGCCAGAGTTAGTGTTGTGGGGCGAATCAATAGGCTCTCCCTTTACCTCCTAAAATCTGATGGACAGGGGTACACATAGATCCCCTCCTCCGCCATCCCTCTCTCTGTCTCTGTTCTCTGTCCGTCTCCCTGCCTGCCAAGCCCAAAGCCCAAGCCCAAGCCCATCATGCCAGCTCTTGCTCCGTTCAGACCCCCAGGGCCTGGCCCTCTTCCCCAATGCGGATCGGGGGCTGGGGACTGGGGGGCTTAAAAATCCCTTGATCCTTCTTCGGAAAGAACATCCACAACTGAATGAATTTTCCACAGCTCATCTAAATGATTTCTCAAGGTCAGTAAAAAAAAATTGCTTCTATTTTATTTATTTTTTTACATAAAAAAATAAAAAAAGTTTTTAGAAATGTAAAAATAACTTAAGATGAATCTAAACTACATTTTATTACAAATTCACCAGGTGTCCCAGGTGTGTGTGTATTCCAGGTGTGTGTGTGTATCTTAAATGTTTGTTTCCCAGGTGTGTGTGTATTCCAGGTGTGTGTGTATTCCAGGTGTGTGTGCATTCCAGGTGTGTGTATTCCAGGTGTGTGTGTATTCCAGGTGTGTGTGTATTCCAGATGTGTGTTTATTCCCGGTGTGTGTATTCCATGTGTGTGTGTGTGTGTGTGTGTGTGTGTGTATTCCATGTGTGTGTATTCCCTCTATGTGTGTATTCCAGGTGTGTGTGTATTCCATGTGTGTGTGTGTCTCAGGTATCCTCACCTGTGGTGTTGATCATGCTCTTGGGTGTTGCCGTGGCAGCAGCAAAGATGTTAGGTGTACTTCCTGGTGTGGCTGCTCCGCTGGTGGTGGGCGTGCCCACTGTGTTGACTGACAGGCTGCCGGGAGGGGGCTTCTTGACTGGCACCATCACTGACCTATCACAGACCACAACACAGCTGTCAAGCAAACTGGAACACACCAATGAGAACTGAACAATTCTACAATAGCTCCTGCTTGACCTCTTGATGACCTGCCATATTGTTTAATCCTATCCATATCGTTTAATCCTAACCATATCGTTTAATCCTAACCATATCGTTTAATCCTATCCATATCGTTTAATCCTATCCATATCGTTTAATCCTATCCATATCGTTTAATCCTATCCATATCGTTTAATCCTAACCATATCGTTTAATCCTATCCATATCGTTTAATCCTAACCATATCGTTTAATCCTAACCATATCGTTTAATCCTATCCATATCGTTTAATCCTAACCATATCCTTTAATCCTAACCATATCGTTTAATCCTATCCATATTGCCTGTCTGTCTGTCTTAGACAACTTTGGGACAGACAGACAGACAGACAGAAAGCTCATCTGAGTAGTTTTGATCTAATATAACACACCCTGTTTCTGATCAATAATTTCGCTGCTGGGTACTCATGAATGAAACATGGTGAAAACCCCCAATTCACCACAAAGCTGATTAGGGGCGTGTTGAGATGTAGCCTGAGCAATAGCCCTGTCTGGGGGTTACACTATGAATAGAGTGAGTTTAATAATATCTGTGACATGACTAATTCTGTTTCATATATTCCTTTTCTATGATCTCATCATCATGCGTCTCTCTCTAAATTAGAGATTTGACAGGTAGTGCATCCTGGGACATCAAGGGAAGAGCCAGGCCTACCTATTGAAGGGGGCGGCAGGTAGCTTAGTGGTTAAGAGCGTTGTGCCAGTAACCGAAAGGTCGCTGGTTCTAATCCCCGAGCCGACTAGGTGACAAATCTGTTGATGTGACCTTGAGCAAGGCACTTAACCCTAATTGCTCCTGTAAGTCGCTCTGGATAAGAGCGTCTGCTAAATGACAAAAAAAAAAAAAAAAAAAAAACATTGAAGGAGTGGACCCACCCGAACCTACACACACACACACACACACACTCACAGACCTGTCGAAGGAGTGGAACTGCATGGGGTGTGTCTTGAGGGCGGGATCAGGGTGGTAGGGGGTGGGGCCAACTTCATGTCCCGCCTCCCCACCGTCCAGGGGGGCAGCCACAAGACTCTTCAGAATCTCCTACATGACCGAGAGAATCAATGATCAATAAAACATATTATTTGACAGAAGAAAGAGACAGCTGGATAAAGGAAGAGAGTCAGGACCTTGATAAAAGAAGAGTCAGTACCTTGATAAAGGAAGAGAGTCAGTACCTTGATAAAGAAAGAACGTCAGGACCTTGATAAAGGAAGAGAGTCAGTACCTTGATAAAGAAAGAATGTCAGGACCTTGATAAAGGAAGAGTACCTTGATAAAGGAAGAGAGTCAGTACCTTGATAAAGGAAGAGTACCTTGATAAAGGAAGAGAGTCAGTACCTTGATAAAGGAAGAGTACTTTTATAAAGGAAGAGAGTCAGTACCTTGATAAAGGAAGAGTGTCAGTACCTTGATAAAGGAAGAGAGTCAGTACCTTGATAAAGGAAGAGAGTCAGTACCTTGATAAATAAAGAACGTCAGGACCTTGATAAAGGAAGAGAGTCAGTACCTTGATAAAGGAAGAGAGTCAGTACCTTGATAAAGGAAGAGAGTCAGTACCTTGATAAAGGAAGAGTACTTTTATAAAGGAAGAGAGTCAGTACCTTGATAAAGGAAGAGAGTCAGTACCTTGATAAAGGAAGAGTCAGTACCTTGATAAATAAAGAACGCCAGGACCTTGATAAAGGAAGAGAGTCAGTACCTTGATAAAGGAAGAGAGTCAGTACCTTGATAAAGGAAGAGTCAGTACCTTGATAAAGAGAGTCAGTACCTTGACGTTGATGCCCTTGTTCGTCTGGCTGATGCTCGAGATCGACGAGGGCGGGGCTTGACCAGGATTGGAAGCAGAGTTAGTGTTGTGGGGCGAATCCAATAGGCTCTCCCTTGACCTCCTAAACTCTGATGACAGGGTACACAGTAGATCCCCTCCTCCGCCATCCCTCTCTCTGTCTCTGTCTCTGTCCGTCTCCCTGCCTGCCAAGCCCAAGCCCAAGCCCAAGCCCATGCCCAGCTCTGCTCCGTTCAGACCCCCAGGGCCGTGGCCCTCTTCCCCAATGCCTGAGTCGGTGTGGGGCAGAGAGGCCAGTGGAGAGTCCCCCATGGGGGTGGGGGTCTGCTTCTCCCCCCGAACACCCTCAGAGAAGGAGGACGACGGGTGCTCTATACAGAGAGAGAGAGAAGGACAGAGAGAGAGACAAAGAGAGAGCGAGAGAGACAGCGCGGCAGAGAGAGCGTGAGAGAGCGAGAGAAGAGAGAGAGAGAGCGAGAGAGAGAGTTATAGGGAATACATGTCTATTCAATAATTTTTACAATCCTGGAGGCCTGGTTTCATTCTGTCCCTGTAATCAGGGACTGATTCACAGCTAGGACACCCGATGAGTGGGGGACATCATACAGCGTGACACCAGAGGGACAGAAAAAAGAGTGACACCGGGTTATTTACCTGTGCTGGTGGGGGAGTTGATCTCGTGGCGGATGCTCCTCCCTGATAGGCTGCTTGACCTGCCAATCTCTCTCTGTGGTTCCAGGATGTCCCGGTACTTTGACACCATGAGGACAGATATGAAGTAGACCACTGCTAGCGCCAGGAACTGGGCCTGCTTACTGTCATCCTGGAGGGGAAACATTTACACATTACACACCTATTAAAAACAGACACGTTTAACCACACACACACACACACCCACACACTGTGCACACACACGCACACACTCACCACGTCTCTGAAGACGACAGCTCTTAGGCGGTTGATGTCAACATCCTGTAGGAGTCTGTCTGGGTCCTGGAGAAGTGAGGGCAGAGGAGTCATCGGGTTAAAAACACAACCTGTTGTTACATCCTCAACCCACATGGGTTCTGGTACCCTTTGACAACTTAGAATTCAAGGACAAGGGGTTGTTACATTGTATATGGGTTCTGGTAGAGGTTGTTATATTGTATATGGGTTCTGGTAGAGGTTGTTATATTGTATATGGGTTCTGGTAGAGGTTGTTACATTGTCTATGGGTTCTGGTAGAGGTTGTTACATTGTCTATGGGTTCTGGTAGAGGTTGTTATATTGTATATGGGTTCTGGTAGAGGTTGTTATATTGTCTATGGGTTCTGGTAGAGCATTACTGTGGCAGTTATTTAAGTGTGCAATAAGTTGTGTGTTTTCGGGGCCTCCCGAGTGGTGCAGCGGTCGACGGTACTGCATCGCAGTGCTAGACGCGTCACTACAGATCAGGGTTCGATCCGGGAGACCCATGAGGCGGCGCACAATTGGCCCAGCGTCTTCCGAGTCAGGGAAGGGTTTGGCTGTCCGGGATGACCTTGTCCCAACGCGCTATAGCGACTCCTTGTGGCGGGCCGGGCGCATGCACGCTGACAGCGATGGGACAAGACTGTAACTACCAATTGGATATCATGAAATTGGGGCGAAAACGGGGTAAAAAGTACCAATTTTTAAAAAAAATTAAAATAATTAAAGTGAATGTGTGTATATGTATCAGAGGAGGCTGGTGGGAGGAGCTATAGGAGGACGGGCTCATTGTAATGGCTGGAATGGAATAAATGGAATGGAATCAAACATATTTGTTTGATGTGTTTGGTACCATGTATTCCATTCCAGCCATTACAATGAGCCCGTCCTCCTATAGCTCCTCCCACCAGCCTCCTCTGGTGTGTGTTACCTTGTTGGCTGAGGCTGCACTCTGTAGGCTGTCCTGTGACCTGCTGCTGGGCAGGTTAGACTTGGAGACACACCCTCTATCTCTCTGTCTCTGTCTACACTCTAGACAGTTCCTCACTGCTACACAGCATACTGGGGGAGGGAGGGAGGGAGGGAGGGAGGGAGGGAGGGAGGGAGGGAGAGAGGGAGGGAGGGAGGGAGGGAGGGAGAGAGGGAGGGAGGGAGGGAGAGAGGGGAGGGAGGGAGGGAGAGAGAGAGGGAGGGAGGGAGGGAGGGAGGGAGGGAGAGAGGGAGGGAGGGAGGGAGGGAGGGAGAGAGAGAGGGAGGGGAGGGAGGGAGAGAGAGAGGGAGGGAGGGAGGGAGGGAGGGAGGGGGGAGGGAGGGAGGGAAAGAGAGGGGGGTTTAAAAGAAGAAAATAAAGGTTATAGAAAGGTTAACACCGGTAAAAGAATATTTTGAACATAGTTATCAAAAAAATTTACATCTCAAATGGAAAAGTGATCTCTGTGTTACAGAATAGGTGGATGGGGAAAAAAAAAACTATTTTGCTACACACTAACTTCACCTCCCTGTATCTCTCTCTCTCTCTCTCTCTCTCTCTCTCTCTCTCTCTCTCTCTCTCTCTCTCTCTCTCTCTCTCTCTCTGTCTGTCTGTCTGTCTGTCTGTCTGTCTCTCAATTCAATTTCAATTTCAATTTCAATTGAAGGGCTTTATTGGCATGGGAAACGTGTGTTAACATTGCCAAAGCAAGTGAAGTAGATAGTAAATAAAAGTGAAATAAATATTAACAGTAAACATTACACTCAGAAGTTCCAAAAGAATAAAGACATTTCAAATGTCATATTATGTCTATATACAGTGTTGTAACAATGTGCAAATAGCAAATGTAACAATGTAACAAATGTAACAATGTAACAAATCTTGCTGCTGTGATTGCACACTGTGGTATTTCACCCAGTAGATATGGGAGTTTATCAAAATTTGATTTATTTTCAAATTCTTTGTGGGTCTGTGTCATCTGAGGGAAATATGTGTCTCTAATATGGTCATACATTTGGCAGGAGGTTAGGAAGTGCAGCTCAGTTTCCACCTGATTTTGTGGGCAGTGTGCACATAGCCTGTCTTCTCTTGAGAGCCAGGTCTGCCTACAGCGGCCTTTCTCAATAGCAAGGCTATGCTCACTGAGTCTGTACACAGTCAAAGCTTTCCTTAAGTTTGGGTCAGTCACAGTGGTCAGGTATTATGCCACTGTGTACTCTCTGTTTAGGGCCAAATAGCATTCAGTTTGCTCTGTTTTTTTGTTAATTCTTTCCAATGTGTCAAGTAATTCTCTTTTTGTTTTCTCATGATTTGGTTGGGTCTAATTGTGTTGCTGTCCTGGGGCTCTGTGGGGTGAGTTTGTGTTCGTGAACAGAGCCCCAGGATCTCTCTCTCTCTCACTCACTCACTCACTCACTCACTCACTCACTCACTCACTCACTCACTCACTCACTCACTCACTCACTCACTCACTCACTCACTCACTCACTCACTCACTCACTCACTCACTCACTCACTCACTCACTCACTCACTCACCCAGTCGTAGACACTGTCTCATCAGGCCTCCAGAGGACATGTTCTTCTCAGCCTCTATCTCAGAGAAGTTGAGAGAGCTGGCGAACACCAGAACATCAACCATGGCCATGAGCCGAGACAGGAAGGACACAGCCGTCTCTGAAGACATGCCCTGGGTCGCCTCCATGTTCTCTAACTCAACCTGATGGGAGGGGAGAGGGAAGAGACAGGTTAGTCACACACACACATATAGACACACACACACACAGACACACATATAGACACACACACACACACAGACACACATATAGACACACACACACACAGACACACATATATACACACACACACACAGACACACATATAGACACACACACACACATACACACATAGACACACACACACACAGACACACATATAGACACACACACACACAGACACACATATAGACACACACACACACACATATAGACACACACACACACACACATAGACACACACACACAGACACACAGACACACATATAGACACACACAGACACACAGACACACATATAGACACCACACACACACAGACACACCATATAGACACACACACACACAGGACACACATATAGACACACACCACACACAGACACACATATAGACACACACACACACACATACACACATAGACACACACACACACAGACACACATATAGACACACACACACACAGACACACATATAGACACACACACACACAGACACACATATAGACACACACACAACACATACACACATAGACACACCACACACACAGACACACATATAGACACACACACACACACACACAGACACACATATAGACACACACACACACACATATAGACACACACACACACATACACACATAGACACACACACACAGACACACAGACACACATATAGACCCACACACACACACATACAACCACATACACACACACACACAACACACAGACACACATATAGACACACACACACACACACAGACACACATATAGACACACACACACACACATATAGACACACACACACACAACACAATAGACACACACACCCAACACATACCACACATAGACACACACACACACAAGACCACACAACATAGACACACACACACACAACACACATATAGACACACAACACACACAGACAACATAGACACACACACAACTACACACATAGACACACACACACACAGACACACAATAGACACACACACACACCAACACACATATAGACACCCACACAACACACACAAACACACAACACACACATAGCACACACCAACACACACACAGACACACATAGCACACACACACACCACAACACACATATAGACACAACACACACAAAACACACACACACAATACGACACATAACACACACAAGACACACAATAGACACACACACACACAACACACAATAGACACACACACACAACAAGACACACATATAGACACAAACACACAAATACACAAATAGACAAACACACACAGACACACATAAGGCCACACACACACACAGACACACATATAGACCACAACATTTACACAAGACCCGCGCAGACACACACGATAACACAAGAACACGGAACTGGAGGGCCCAAAACCTGGTGTAGTTCAGCACACAACTGACCCAGGACAGTGGCCAGCATCACAGACCCAGGTCAGTGGCAAGCATCACAGACCCAGGTCAGTGGCCAGCATCACAGTGACGGACAGTGACAGACAGACGCAGGATGCCAGGGATAGTGACAGGTCGGGTTTTTGGGTAGGGGGGGGTGGGGGGTGGAGGAAGTAGGTCGGGGGGTAGCAGGGGGGGGTAGTGGGGGTAGCAGTGGGGGGGATAGTGGATAGGTCTGTTTGGGGTAGAGGGGGGATATGGAAGTCTGGGGTAGCAGTGGGGGGGGAGTAGTGGATAGGCTCTGTTTGTGGGTAGCAGTGGGGGGGATAGTGGATAGGTCTGTTTGGGGGTAGCAGTGGGGGGGATAGTGGATAGGTCTGTTTGGGGTAGCAGTGGGGGGGATAGTGACAGGTCTGTTTGGGGTAGCAGTGGGGGGGATAGTGGATAGGTCTGTTTGGGGTAGCAGTGGGGGGGATAGTGGATAGGTCTGTTTGGGGTAGCAGTGGGGGGGATAGTGGACAGGTCTGTTTGGGGGTAGCATGGGGGGGATAGTGGATAGGTCTGTTTGGGGTAGCAGTGGGGGGATAGTGGATAGGTCTGTTTGGGGTAGCAGTGGGGGGGATAGTGGATAGGTCTGTTTGGGGTAGCAGTGGGGGGGATAGTGG